CTATCGCATCTCTGAACTCTGTGCGTGCATGAAATGCTTCAGGAATATTTTCTACCTGACTGGAAGCAGTCTTGCAGTTTGGACACCAACTGCTGCAACTGGGAGGGTGTCAGCTGGAGAGTCAGGCCACAGAATGAAATTTAGTGCCTTCAGCACTCAGCCTTGTGGTGGTGAAACAGGAGCCAGGCTGCAAGGCAGGAGACATTTATCTGTGGGGCAGGAATTAACCAAGTGCCAGATGATAAGGCAGCTTTTTTTTTTTTTTTTCTCCCCAGCATCAGTGCATTCAACAGCTTTTGGGAAGGTGTCTCCCTTTTAGATCAGTCTCTTTGGTTGTCTGTCTGTGAAATCTGCAGGAAATGCTGCAATCCCAATTACTAACATTCCCAAGAGGGTCTCCAGCTCAAGCGCAGGAGAAGGGAGGGTAGATGAGATGTGCTTATTTGTATGTATTTATATATCCCCACTGGCACTCATCAAAACCAGTTCCTGCCCAGGTTCCCCTGACTGCTCAGTTGGAGACAGGCGTGCACAGGAAAGAAAGGCAGAGGCGAGAGCGTCTGTGACAGAGGGGACAGAAAAACCTTTCTGAAGCTCCATGTGCAGAAATGAAACCCCTGCCTGCCCCTTTCCCAAGGAAGGAGAAGAAAGCAATAGGTTAAGCAGTGGGAGCCAAAGAAGAGGTGACGTGACAACATGCCGCCTGCTAGCCAGGTCTGCACACATGGAAAACGCATGAGCACCTTGCTGGAAGCCGCCAGGGCTTTGCAGCCTCTCCTCCTCGTTTTCCCTTACACTCTGCCCACACAGAGACCCAAGGTGCCAAACTCACACCTGTCCCAGGGGATGTGTCAGCTCCCAGCACGCACCAGTCCTGTACTGGGCACTCCTTGTGTTGTTGCTCTCCTCTCCTTAAGAGCTCCTGGAGGCAGAGCCAAGGTCTCTCGGGATCTCCCTCCCTGAAGCGAGAGCTGCTAGCAGAGCTTTTCAGCAGCATGTTTTGAGCGCAGGGTCCAGCATTGCTGACGCACAGTGGGGCAGCCCCAGGGCAGCTGGGCTTGCAAAGCAAAAGGCATCACTAGAGCTTGCCCAGGCTAACGCTCCCTCTGACCTCAGGGCCACTCCGTGACCATGTCTGAGCTGGAGAAGGCCATGATGGCCATCATCGATGCCTTCCACCAGTACTCTGGGAAGGAGGGAGACAAGCACAAACTGAAGAAATCAGAACTAAAGGAGCTCATCAACAACGAGTTGACCCATTTCCTTGGCGTAAGTATTGCCTGCTGGACAACGCGCCTGGCTGGGCTCAGGGGACTGTGTCAAGCAGCTGTCAGGCTCCGCTAGCTCTGTCTCCCATGGGAAGCAAGTGCAGGGGAAGGGTTCTTTCACAAAGCAGTGTGTTAAACTGCAGGAGCAGTGCGTGGCAGGACAAGGGCCACAGCTTGCATTGGGGGCTGGGGTTCGGGTTGGATAGTAGGAAAATTTCCTTTGCCCCAAGGGGCTTAAGATGTCCCTTCCCAGTGGCACATCTGTGGCTGCAATTCCTGCTTCATGAGGGCTGCTGTTGCACAGATGCTGCCCCAGCACAGATGGGAAACAATCACAAGGTATTTGGGATGTGTCTGGACACAGATTCAGCCATGACAGCACCAAAGAAGCAGGGACATATTATCGTCTGGGCCTCGCTCGGATCCTCCCCAGTTTTGGCTGCCTGTTTCTGTCCTTTCAGGAGATTAAAGACCAGGAGACTGTGGACAAAGTCATGGAGGCGCTGGACAGCGATGGGGACGCAGAATGTGACTTCCAGGAGTTTGTAGCCTTCATTGCAATGGTCACCACTGCTTGCCATGAGTTTTTTGAGCATGAGTGAGCTGAAGGGAAGCAGGCGAGCACCTCCTGCTCGTGCTGGAGAGATGCAGAGCAGCATGGCTCCTCTGGGAAAAAGACTGGATGCAATTAGGGGCTTCTTGGAGCTAAGCTTGTGCTAGACTTAAGCAGCTTATTAAGTTCTGCAGCTTTGTGAACAAAAACCACCCGCACAGCTCAGGAAAGCCTATTGGCCAGTGCCTACCTGGCTGGATGCGGTGTGTGAATGCTTTGTCTCAAGCTCCTTCCCTGCTGCTCTGTGCAAGGGACATGTGTGGAGCTGGAGGTGGGCGGACGCTGCAATCCATGCTTGCTTGCAAAGGGAAAAGAGAAATTCAGGGGCTGAAGTAGGAGGTGATGCAGAGGGGCTAGTTACAGAAACCTGGTTCTGAGCCCATTGGCCTGAATGGAAAAGCTCTTGTTGATTCCCGTGAGCTCTGACCACCCTGTGCATGGTACTAACCCAGGCTGCACTGCTGTCCTGTCCCGGGGCTCAGCCAGAGCCCACACATTTCTTGGCAAATTCAGACACCCTTGGCTTGAAAGGCAAAGCATAACCATCTAACAGCCCAGGCTTTTTTCTTGTCAATGAATCAATCCTGCTTTTAGCAGCCTGAAGAACTGGAAGCGAAAGCGTACAAGCCTCCTGGGCTGGGGACAGCTTCTGCGTCTGGGATGTGCCTTGGCAAGGTCTCTGGGCTCAGTCAGAAGGGAGAGGTGGATCTCCCCAGGGTGACCACAGTGCTTTAACGTAGACCAGGCACAGCCTCCAGAGCGTGTGGCAATGGTGAGAATAAAATATTGTTTTGGTCTCTGAGCCGCAATTGGTCTCTGGTGAAATACGTGTCCTTTTGTCCCAGGCTGTGTGCAGCTCCCCGGCTGCCCTGCACTGGCAGAGGGGACAGCTGGAGGACACAGCCTGAAGCACTGCTATAGCTCATGCCCCTGTATTTCTTGTTGGCCATTGACCCTTCATCTCCTCCTGGGCATGACTGTGGCTGGCCAAACAGCTCAAGCCTGTGGCCACCATCACGCTCCACCTGGCTGTCCAAACTGGCAGACATACCTGTGATGTCAAAGGAGTGCAATGCACCTCTGCGGGACTGCTGCTGTTCAGGATGTGTCCTCTGCTGACAGGGTCAGCTAGGGGCTTGCACTGCCGAGCCTTTGCAAAGCCAGAACTAAAGCTAGGACAATTTTCCCAAAACCTATTCTCCTGGTCTTTTCAATCTGCACTTATCACCAGCTCAGCGATACCTGTGATTTAGGCATTCGTGGCTAGCAACATCTATAGTGACAAATTCACGACAAAGATGCCCACACATGTAATTTTTACCTTGTTCCACGTTTCATGATTTCACATGCAAAATGTCTTTGTACAGGGACCACCCTCCTGTTCTCACCTGCTTCCCCCAAGCTGTGGAAGGAGACACTCAGGCAGAGACACACAAAGACAACATCCTGTACTCCATCTAGAATTAAAAAAGTAGTTTTGCCATCCCAGGGTAGTGCTCATTTGTTGAGAACTTGTTTAGCATCCAAGTCACTTCCACCACATTTTTACCATTCTCAGCAGTTCTCGGTTCAACTGTTTCCAACACTTATATGGACCTGAGGCAGTGTGTGAGGACAAAGAAGGAGGACACTGTCCTTCCCAGAGTGTCCCTAAGGTTAGGCAGGGTAGACAGGACTCTCATGACCCTGTCTTGAGCCTGAACCTGAGTTCGGCAGAGGGGTCTGATGCTTCAGCACAAGGGTCTCCAGGTGAGGCTGTCTGGCAGGTCTCCAAGTCCCACCTGCCTTCTGCCTCACCGCAGCAGCAGTGCTTCCATGGATGAGGAATCCCTCCCCAAGACTGAGCCTTTCCAGCAGCTCTGCACAGCACCACAGCACCGAAGAGCTGTAGGTGTAACACGCGACTTCAATACCGGCAGAGCTTGTGAGACACAGAGCACGCTGTCCTGTCCCTTGGTGAGCAAGGAGAGCAGGAGCAGGGAGCAAATGCACGCATTTCTGGCAGCAAGTCCTATCCTGACTTAACACCACCACTGCTGGGAATCCACAGAGGCTTTACCTGGCACAAGAGGAGGCGCAGCAGAGCTGGTGCCTCTTGTCAGGGAGGAAGAGAACGTGTCTTCCTTTGAGGTGAGCACTCTGACTGCCAGCAGTGCAGTACGTGGAGCTCAGGCTACTGAGCCCTGGACACTCCTCAGTCAGGAAGGAAAGCAGTTTTCCTGAAGTGAAATTCCTGAAACAGCGACTGCATGATCACAGGCCCTGGCGCCACGCAGTCTGCGCTGCAGCTCTGCTCCCTTTGTGTCCTGCAGCTCTCCGGCACAGCGGTGCCTCAGCTGAGAGCACGGATGGTGGGGACAGCCACACGCTGGTGGACGAGGCAGGCAAAGCAGTTTGGGCAACACCGGCCCAAGCACGTCACATGAGGTGCCTCTGCCGACACCTCACCACTGCTGATCCCTCCCGCATGCTGCTCCCTGGCACGCACAGGCATAGCCAGCCACCCGCAGTACCTCTGCTGGCACAAGCCCCTGTGTCCAGCCTAGAAAAAGGATGCTGCCATGCCAACGAGGGGTCTGAGCAGTGCCACGAGGGGCTTGGAAGTGCAGTGAGCCTTTCTGGGTAAAAAAGAAAATCACTCAAGCCTTGGGGCTGAGCAAGGAGCAGGTGTTAGAGCTCTGCAAAGCAAACATCACAGCCGGCTCTGAAGGAGGCTCAAAGGCTGAAGCAACACACTTATCTCCCAGCAGTGACAGGCTTAGAAGTGCCAGTTCCGACACCACTGGTTTTCAGGCTCTGGCAGGGATACTTCACTCCTCAGGAAGGGAAGGTGATGGGCTAATGACACTATGAAATAATATTTAGTTATGCCCCCATCCTAGCCAACAGAATCAGCCTGCTGGATACCTGAGGTGTGCACGTTCTTACAAAACCTCACTGGCACTGGTCAGATAGATCTGACATCGTATCTATCCCAGTAGAGCTCAGAGAATCCACGTTTTTGTAATTAGTGTGGACTGGCACGTGACAACCTGCAGAAAGGCCTTTTTTGGTAACATGGAGCTCTGAGGTCTGCATCAGGGGACCCTCAGGGCCTTGGAGGGCTCCCTAAGGATGAAAGAGCAGCATTGCACTAGCAGCACCTACCTGATGTCTGGACACATTGCTCAGATATGCTTTAGACTCCCTAAAGAAGAGGGTGCAAGTGAACTTCCCACCATTTTCCCATGGATGGTTTCTTACATTAAACAGTCTTTCAAGACAAGAACTACTTATCAACAGTACTAAAAGTGAACGAAAGAGAAGGAAGTACAACAACAGGAGGAGCCTGACATGTTTAGTAAGTTCAAATTAACTTTGCAAACTAGAAAAGTGACAGACGGAGGCAGATTTAGTACATATATGGTGTACTGCACTTCTGCTGAATTACATTTTCATAGTTTGAAATGCTGCCACTACTGTTTGCTCTGGGAGATTAGAATATGCACTTTTACTCTGTCCCCAGATAATAATAGGCTAAGTGTAGCTGTGAAAGGAAAGCCTCTCTCTGGATCAGATCAGCACTGGAAGAACTGCTTACAGAGCCCCACAAAAGTGCTCTTCCACATAGAATCTGATCTTACTAAGAGTGATGATTATTGCTGTTGGCACATCTAAAAAATATATTCTTCATCTTGTTAACTGCCAATAGGATATGATTCAGGCTGAACTCTTCGATAGCAGAGTTCAAGAAAAACAACTTATATTAAAAAGAAAAACAAAACATGCTTTTCCCACAAATGATACACAAATAAAATCTGGACTTTTAACAGAACTCAAGAGAAGGAACACTCCTGACCTTGCTGGATGGAGTACAGCAATTGCGTAAACAAAGCACTGCACCGCTGGGCCATGTCTCCCGTGTGTCCAGAACGCCGCACTGCAAGCTGTGCTGGCACTGAGAGGTGCTCCTCCATCCTGACAGTCTAGTGACATGGAAGCACGTTCCTGCTCCCTCTGTACATTAAGCTGAAAAATACATTTCAAAAGAAAGTGGCAGCATTTCTGTGAGCAATCCATGGATTGATTTGTTCCCTCTGACAGCTACTAAATCTAAAGTATTCGCCTGGCCTTACTTAGTGTACTGCAACAGGGCATTAGAGCATATTTTTCAGTTTTTCCATTCTGAAATATTCTCAACACTGGATTTTACTGTTCAAAGTTTGAATTCATCCTGCATCCCGAACAGTGTGGACATCCAATTGCAGGGGGAAGGCAGCTGACAGAGCAGGAAACTAGAAGGGCAAAATAGGAAGCTTTTTAAACAAAACAAAATAAACCACCTCCAAAACTATTAAGCAGCAACATAAAACTGATCTTTTAAAGGTGACTTTTATATTTTCTTGCCACTGAATTTTGATTCTGCATGTAGGCATGTCAGGTTACAAGTACAGACACAACCACCACGGCACCGCTGTCCACGTTTGGCACAGAAAAATGCCAGAAATAAAGACAAATTGTTATTTTGCAGTTACCTTTGCAAGCCAGGTTTAAGGAATGCTAGAAACTTAGCAAATGTTTGTCACTTCCATAAGCAAACTTTTATGTTTAGGTGAGAAAAGGATTTAAAAAAAAATTTACTGGAGGAAAAGGTAGTAGTGTATATTATTTTAACAATATGTATTGAAATACAGAAAAGATAGAACTCTTCTTATATGGCACCGGCATAACCGAACTGGAAATAAACCCTAGTATGTCTAGTTCCTCCTAAACAACACGACGGGTCACAAAACAAAATCTGAAGACTGTAGCAAAAATTTACATTAGAATCTGTCATGACAAAGAACTCTGGCTTAGGAAACATCTAATTTGGAATATCTGACCATGTAAATATTTAAAGTATATTAACCAGCTGAATACAAACATCAGTTCAACAACAGAGTTAGATCTTAGTACACCCAGCATCACGTAAATCCTGAAGTGCAAAAAGTTAAAAGAATTATTCAAAGGAGTTTGTTAGCTGTAAATGGGTTCTTAGATGCAATCCAGCTCTATCACCTACTGACATGATTTCTGGCCTGAAACACTCCAGTATTTTAAATGTGCAAGGCTTTCGGAAAATTCCTTTTTAGACCTTAAAACAGAGTTGTGAACATGCTATAGAAACCAAAACCAGAAGCCTATCCAAAAAGATCCTTAAAGTGCATAATACATGTTTTCACACAGTAGCAGGGAAATAGCATTAAAAAAAGACTGGGTACAGAAAATTAGGAATGTGCACTTCACATGAACTCATTGCTTCCTTTTTTCTGCTATAATAAATTCCTGGGTAACAATAAACAATAAAGGCAGGCGTAAAGTGGCCTCATAGTACTGTTGCTGGAATGACATAAAGCTTACAAAAAGCCAATACAAAGTGCTGGCTCACAAGGAACACTGCTGCAATAAAGGCAGTTTTATTAATGTTTACAAAGTTACTTAGTACTTGCCGGGTCCGATCTCACACCCCAGAATAAATCTGAAACATTCTGCTTCGACAGCAACCCTTTTGTGGCATCTCACCTCCTTCCCTCACCACAGTGACTGGCAGCAAACCAGCTACAGCCATTTGGTAACTCAGAAGGAGCTGCACTTTGCGTGACAAATTCCTGCTTGTTTCCTAAACGCACTGCTGGTTACAAATTTGTTTTCTGTAGGTGCACCACCTCCCTTGCCTCTTCAAACTAAAACGTTGCCTTTGTTTAAGAAACTACAACTTAATTTATTTCCACTTACAAAGCAGCATTCCTCTTCCAATCTGGGTAAAAGCAGGCGCTTCAGTCAGGAACCCCTGGAAGCCGGTGTTAGAAAGTACTGCTGATGTGTAACAGAACCACCCGGGCCCACAATCGGGGGCAGAATCCCCCTGTAACCACGGAGTGTTCTGCATCCCACACCAACCACGGGGAGCCTCAGCAGACTTTTCTGTATCTGCTACAACCCAGAGAAGTGAATGCACTGAACCTTGCATCAGAGAAATAATTCTATTTGGAAACACACTCTGGAGTAACGCTGGAGGAGCGTGTCATTTTCTTTTGATAAAAATTAAAGCAGGCACTCCACCTCCTCTGAGCCATGTTGCAGAGGGCCAGGAACAGCTCTTGCCTTAGTGACTTTTACAGCCTTTCCACCTGCTGCTGTTGCTGCTTTGGGTCAGCCTGGGGAGGTTGCTCGAGACTGTCATCGCGGTGGTGCTGTTTCTGCTCCTTCTTTTTCTCTTCCACCAGTGCTTTTGCCCTGGTGCTCATTGGCCTGGGTCTAGCATCAGGCCTCTCTTCATCCTGCTGGTGCTTTTTACAATGTTTTTCAAAAGTAGAAATTTTGGCGTATGTCCGGTTGCAAAGCAAACAGTGGTACAGCCGCTCCCCACTGTGTGTTCTCACGTGAAGCTGGAGACAAGAGGACCTAGAAAAGGCTTGGCTGCAGACCGAGCAGCAGCCAGGCTCGTGCGCCTCATGTGTCTTCAGGTGCTGCTGGAGGGACAATGCCTGCTTGAAGGCCTTCCCGCAGGTGGAGCACTCGGAGTTCCTCTCTCCAGAAGCTGGTGTGAGACACGAGGTGGGCAGAGGAGAGGAAGTTCTTCCCACACTTCTCACACTTGTAGGGCCGCTCTCCAGTGTGCAAGCAGATGTGGAGGGCAAGGTGTGAGGAGAAGACGAAGGCCTTGCCGCAGAGCAGGCAGGCGTGGGGCCGCTCCCCGGTGTGGGTGCGCTTGTGGAGAACCAGCCCCGAGGACAGAGCGGAGGCCTTGGCGCAGACGGGGCAGCGGTACGGCTTCTCCAAGGCACCGGCCTGCACGAAGGCCTTCCCACACTGCTCGCACCCGTAGGGCCGCTCCACCTCGCCAGCCACCGCCAAGCGCCGGCCGGCTCCCCCCGTGCTGTCTCCAGAGCCACCGTTAGCTCTGCCGGGGGAAAGCAGCAGCGTTGTGCTGAGTGGGGGGACAGGGCACCCCACGTAGTGGGGAGAGGAGAGGACACACAGGCAGACCCCAGCCAGCAGCTCAACTGCAAACACGAAACTGGGGAACAGGCAGGCTTTGAGGATGTGCCATTGCTTTGACAGGACAGCAACTGTAATGAAATTTTGCAGAAAAAGATCTTGATGCATTAAACTGCCCAAAACACGGGTGAAAACTCTACTGAAGATGCGCCGAGGTTTTGATCTAACAGCATACATCTCACCATGCAAGCAAGTCAGATTTTCAGGAACTGTTTAATGTGCTTTTTGTTTTAGATTTACTTTACAAGGCAACTTGTCTCACTGTCATCTCAATACAAAAATCTTACAATGCTTTATTTGCTAAAAACCTACAACGTTAAAATTGGGGTTAGGCAGTTCTTTTGCCAGCTGTACTTAAACAATAAGTTACACAAGTTCTGTACATAATTACAGTCATCGTAGAGTATACAGCTGTATAATACACCACAGTCAAACACCATGAGGGCAAAGAACTACTATATAGGAAAGCTTTTTGTTGAAGATTTTATAGTTTATTTGACCAACAGTCAATTCGATATCCTCATATCAGGAGACTGACATCCACCTTTCTTAGGCACTGATCCAGGCAGAATTGCCTTGCAGAAAAACCTGGCTCTTTTGCCAACCTCACGCATTATTTAAAAAGAAAAAAAAAAAAAAAAAAGTATGTAGCTCAAAGTCTTTAACAACTCTATAAAAATAGTTATTTGCTAGTCTCGCCCTTACCTTCAAATACATGAAGTATTTGAATAAGTTCACATTCTCGTTCTGAATAAGGTTCACTGCAGTATTAGATCAGGCAGAAACTTCAAAACCTTGTTTAGTCAAGTGTGACTCAACCAACTGGTTATTTCAGCTTGAACAAAACGGTCTGTCTAAATACAACTATTAAAAAAAAATAGTTTGTACCACAGCAGATCAAACCAACTAACACTGAATATCTTTTCCGTGGTGAGGGGGGGAAAAAAAAAATCACTATTCTAAGTTTTAGCACAGGATATTCAGGGAAAACATATTGTAAGACCATGCTTTGTGAACATTTCCATGAATCATTCAGAGACTATTGGCTTTGGAATGAATTTTCAAATACTTGGCATTATGCAGGGCAGTAATTAACAGCTAATGCTATGAAAACAAGCAACTTTAACATGAAATTATGACAGCAAGAGCAGTGAAGGCTCTTGCATCAACGAGTTAAAACTGGATATTAATTTATATTTTATTATACAGTTTATAGCATTACAGAGTCCAGCATGGCACGATAAGTAACCTTGTTACAGTTGCAGTCTTTGTTTTTGCTTGGTACAAAAAAGCTGAACAGCAGCGTAATGGTTGTTAGACTGAATCTGGGATTGGAATGAATTTGCTCTGAATAGGGATGAGCCAGTGACTTAAAATTAAAAGGCTGCATATTTTTAAGTCTCAAATATGTGCAAATTCCTCTCAGTACAGTAGAGAATATGGCAGAGATGTGTGCAATCTTGAAAGGTATGTCCCAACCCAGACACTGCCAATATATTGCAAACAAACCACATGGAGGGTGAACTCTGACTGGTTACTCGCTACTTACAGTATTATTTCCAAGAGTCCTCCTCACAGCTGTTGTTCTCTCTCCACCGCGCTTTATGTCCTTTTATGCAGTGCATCAAGTACTGACATTCACAATTATTGTAAAAAAATCATTGGTCCATGATAGTTCTAATAAGCTTCCTTCAGGAATTTCAGTAAACTCTCCATCCTAAGACAGCTGTAACTGTTACAATGGATTTATGAAAGAAAACGCAATCTGAGAGATGAAGGTCTGTGAAGATCAGTATCTCTGTTTTCCTAAGGTCTTAAACAGCTTTTAAAAACAAAAAAAACGGATTCTGATGTTATTACTTGGAAAGTCCCTTGATTTTGGTGCTTTAGCCTTGATGTGATTTTTCTGTTTTCACATGTTGTAGGCAACATAAATAGGATCCAGCTGGTCAGCCAAAAATCCATCTCTCAAGTGCATTCGTTGTTTCTCACCACGGGAATTGATTGGAATAACACCTGGGTCCACAATAACTACCACACCTACTATGAGATAATGCTCTTCCAGAACCACATTTGTTACCAGTGCGACCAGGTCCAATGCTTCTTGTTCTGAGCCTTCTAATTCCACAACCACCACCAGCAAGTTGGTCCATGTAAACACAGCACTGTTGGCATGGTACAAATATTAATGGTGAGAAAGAAATACACAGCTAGTTATCAAAGAGACTCACTGGAAATAAATTTTTAAATTACTTGGATAACATTTTTTTAAGGACTTGGATAACTTGTGAGAACAAGTGATATAACAGTAATGTGAAAATATTCATAAATCAAGAGGGATTAAAGCTGTAACTCGTTAGGATATTCTCTGCCATTTGTTTTTTAATTGTCCATGTGAAAAAAATAAGTAGGTCTTTTTCTTTTACGTGTACACAATCTATTTAACGAGTCCTTTGCACTTATCTATTAAAACAGGAACCATTAAGATTTCACATTCAGTGTGTGAATACTTGATATTAATGTACTTGTGTCAATCTTCAGAGATTATTAAAGGAAAGACAAAACCTCCCAAAGATTACAAGTAAACACTATCGCTTTGAGACTGAAGAGGACCTACAGCCAAATGGCACACATCATCCACTGGGACTCAGTGAGAATACTGTACGTTAGAAGTTACCATTCAAGAAACCCTCGAGATGTGTTTACCACATCCAAGCGTGTACGTTCTGGCACAGCCAGGGAAGTCAACAACATAACTCGGAAGTGTTCTCCTGCCCCGATCATGCCCTGCCCTTGCTGTCTTTCAGAATATGGAAAATAAAACTCTGATGAAGGAGTGGGTTGTTTGGTTTTTTTTTAGAGTGGTGGAGGCAGGGAAAAGCGGGGCGTTATATTTCGGTTACTCTCACTGGAGCAGTTTCTAAGCAAAGTTTTCATGAGTTCACTCTACAGCAGGCTCTCAGTCTAGCATGCTGTTCCACAAAGCTTGACTTCTGGTGCTTTACAAGAAATAAAAGGATACAGAAAAGTAATCCGGAGGCTCTTACCATTCTGCAATGCTCTTATGTGCTCTTATTACAGAGGTCTCGATATCAATGGGGTGGTACCTCATTCCTCTGAGCTCCAGCGTTTCATCCAAGGAGCCTACCACATACAGGGCATCATGCCTCTCTGCAATACAGCACAGACATTAAAACATCATCAGATCTACAGAACAAACATGGTCATTTGTATGGGCTTATTTGTGATGTTCCAAGGTGTTCCTGGTACTTCTTAGAAGAAAGAGTCTATAACACACACCAAGCTCTACCACTTGGAGAGAAGAGAATTAAGAGGTCATTTGGCACTTTCAAGAAAATGAAACCAGACTAAAAATAATTTCTGGGTCACCCAGTTCTGCCCCTTCTCTCACATAATGTAATCTCAGTTCATAAACCCAATCAAAATCCATTGTTAAAGCATCTTTTTGTCCCACTATTCTTATCAGAGAACTCTCCTCTGATTGAAAGGAACCCTTTTGCCATTTCCAAATTTAACTTTTTTTTTTCTTTTTAAAATCAGCTTACACCCACTTGTCCTCATGCCAGCAATATTCCTCTCAGCTTCTCAAGTTCCCCACAATTAATGCAGTGAGAACAACTCTATCCCCTCCTCAGCCTTAGCTTTGCTAGGTTAAATAAGCAAAGCTCTCCTAGACCCTTCTTGAAGGACACCCTCTCCACATTGCCACATTCATCCTGTAACTGCTCAGTTCAATTTCATTTTTTTTCTGCACCTATTTCCTAATTCTGCTCAGTCCTGTGACCGGAGATGTAAAAGCACGTTGGGAAGCTGCACTGAGAACACAGCATACTTGCTATGTTACTTCACCATACATAGCCTCCCAAATGCTGACAAACTAAAGGACCACTGATGTTGTTCCACAGCGATAAAAATCTCGGTGATATGTGGTTTTTCAGAAAGCTACAAGGCACAAAAACTTGCTATAGTAATCTGGTGCCTTGCCACCTGCAACTTCTCTTTCTTTGTGAATGTCTGTTCACAGATTCCAATTTCTGTCAACTACCAGCTTTCTCGGGAACAGGAGCCATTTCACTTTGCACAGGGACAGAAGGACAATTCCGTCAAAGCAGCCAGTGCACAACCGTGCACTAAGCAGCAGTCCCGGAGGTCCAGGAACTACCCTAGAAAAATCAGAGAGGAGGAAAGCAAGGAAAGCTTAGAGCACCGTGGTTGAGTGTTCTTTTGTCTGATGGCAAGATGGCATGCAGTAAAAGCTTTTTCAGGGAGCTGGACCTGTATCAGCTCCCACCGATAGCTTGAGATGACATTCCTGCAGGAGTAGAGACTCCAGAGGGGCTGGCCAACAAACTACTCTGTGTACTAAGTAGGATGAACATGGTGGATAGGGCTGGTGCCAAGAAGGAACCCTTCCATGTAATCGTGATGGCTGTGGGCTAAGGGTACCACACAGCTCTGATGAAACTGCTTCTTTACCAGAATTCACCTTTCGCTCTCTGACTGCGGGAGAGGGAAGCCTGTGCAATGCTGCTCTGTTGGAGATGGAACTGAGTGGGCTGCAGGGATTTCTCCAGCCGGAGCAATAGCATCCACCTTGCTGGTTCTCAAGAGCCACAGGGAGACTGAGTAACACACCAGCACAGCAGAGTGCAGGACGACCTTCTCTTAGCAAATAGATCCAACAGAGTTACATCACAGACCATTTCTGAACCCTGGACTGGTATCCACTGCAACAGATGGGGTCACTCCTCAACAAAAGTCTGTACCTTCAACAAATTGCTCTTCTCGCACTCTTCTTCCTTCACATAATGGAGGACTAAAGGTAGGATGGACACGCATGGTGTTCCCAAAACCGACACTTATGTACCAGAAGTGGGAACACTGCTTTTCTTTTACCGTGAGTACAGGAAATGTAGAAGGTGTCTTGTGAACCCCCTACAGTTCATTATCCAGTGACAGCAATGAGGGGATGCTCACACTATCTATTTAGATACCACCGTTTGTTTAAGCCCCATCACAGAAAATTAGCAGTACACATTCGCTAGTAAGTTATAAGCATTCAAACTCCTTTTCTTAGGCTGTTTAGCGATTACTTTTTTTTTCTTTTAAAAAGGTGTGATTATCAAGAGTTATACCTACTCCATATTCTGTCTCAACAGAAAAAGGAGCAGTTTTTCCTCCATCTCCTTACATTTCTCAAGTGTAGACATCTTGGCTTAGATTGAAAAAATGAGATTAACAATCTATTTTCTATACTGGAAAAATTATGGAGAAGTTACTCCTCTAGACCTTTAACTTCTGAAAGGCTGGGCAATCACTGGTATGTGTGCTTGTCCTAAAACTGCTGAATGGCAACATTACTCGTGTTCTCTAGATCAGCACTGAAATACTGCATCCTGTCTATTAGGAAAGAGGTTCA